GCACCTAAATTACAAAGCAAGATTGTTAATTTTTGTGCTGCCGCCTCCTTCATTTACATTTAACCATGCTTCGACGGGATCACTCGCAAACTGCAAATTTTAAATTGAGTCCAATGAATTACTTAGTCTAGCGCTATCGAAGCGGAGCACAGAACAACCTTCATATTTCATCGGTTGACTAATAGCTATTCGTGTCCTGGTTGATTATAGTGGAATATGTCAGATGTGAGCATGCTGTAAAGACCGCAGCCAATACATTGTATGTGAAAGACAATGACGGCAGATGATATCTTATTACTGGAAGACAGTTCTGAAGCAATGGTATTATTGTAACTCTGAAATGAAGCTGTTCTGATCTGGGATTCTACCTCAGCTTATGAAAGACAAAAGGGAGGGAAATGGACAGAAACCAGGCAAACAGCTATTTTACTCTTAAAGTCATGAAGTTGCGGACAAAAAAACTTTCAGAATATTACATCTCGGAAATTCATTGGCTGGATATGGACGAGCGGCAGACGATGTTGAGAGATGCTCTACGCTGGGTGTAATATCTAGCAACAAGTTAGGCAAGTTCTGGAGGCGCCCGGACTTCCGTCACAGCGCAGATCCGGGGTACTCGAGGCCGGACTTAGTGATGAGGAATGCTGAACTGCAAGAGAGAGACAATCTCTCGTTTGTACCAGATGCAAGTGTGGATCGACAGGGATTAGTTTCCGAGATAAAACAGCATAGCACTTTCAAACAGGTGATCGAAATGATTGAAAGGCGCTTGAGTAGTCCGTTTGATGTACTATTCGCCAGGTTCACCTGATTGTCATTTCCGTACGCGTCGGTTATCGTGGACGTTTCAACATTAGACGGATGAGCATTAGTTCTAACTCTCATGGAGTTTCATGAGGTTGGTTCTGGTTCCCCAACTGTCGCTTAGTTCGGTACCGATGTGGCCACTTCTAGTCTTTCATTTCTCAGGTCAAACCTCAAGGAAACAGTGGCATTGGTGACTTCACTCTTAGCAATCAATCTCGTCTTGTCATTGTGCCGTCATCAGGTTATGTGTGGTCATTACATAAGTGAGGGGTCTGCCCAACCCATCCCCAATGACGACCTAATAGTACACACTGTTGGAATTCATCGCATTCACATTCTCTAGCTCTGTAGATCCTACCTCTATACGAAATCTGGAGACGTGTCAGAGAGCTCGAAAATACACTTCAGTTACAGGGGAAAACACAGCGATCTCGGACGTCATTAAAGCACGCTAAACCAGTGATATTGGCAGTCGTGACAACGACAATCACAGTTTTGTTCGCTCACGTGATAATAAATTCAAATTAAATGCAGATGTGTATTTTAGACGAACCAAACAGCACAAACTGTTGCCCTGTAATCGCGCCTTACCTGGTAGAGGCGATCAGGCGTAGTATTTTCAGGGACGTGCAATATCTCGTTGGAGTGATACCGTTCATTGAGTTCTGATGGCAGATGAGACGAACCCGCCTCGTCGTGTCTGAACTGAAGGCTTCCAAAATGCGGAAGCAGAATTTCGTCGCTATCATCTACTTCGACGGATACGTAATGACGTCTCTAAACGAAGTCCATCGACTCACTGTACGAGCATCGACAGAATACTCACGGCTCGACCAGCAGAACCCTTTGTTTCGATCACCATAAATGCATAGTCGCGACCTGCGAAGCTCTCATTGTCGCTGATCGTCGCGTTCCACACGTACAGATTACCCACTTCGTCCAGGACAAATGGGCACGAGGAACACACCAAGTCATAGGTAGTGCTTTGTTCGCTTGATGTTTTGTCTGAATTCTGTAATACGTATACAGAAGTGTCAATTTCTGATGCAGGAATAACCGAACAGTACCGTCAAACTCCCGATAAAACTTCCAGCGCCAAAGTCAGCAGCGGATAGTTTGAAATTGTGCCACATAACTTGCATATCAGCGGTTTTACTGTCAGAAAAGCAGATGACCAGAAAGCTTTCAAAAGACTGAAAAAAGTTTGCTAATAATATCAGTATTTGAACTGTAAAGTGACTTTTTATATTTAGTCCATTCACATAATTGGTTTAAAAATAGTAAAATATCAGAAATTACAAAGCGACATTCGTAATGCTCATAAATCGCAGTAGTTATAAAACAATCATTGCGAGCATACATAACAAAGTTAAGAGATTTCCTTATAGCGTAGGGTGTCAGGGTTAATTGCAAAACTAAACCACTGGTTAAGACTCAGCTAGCCATTTCATAGGTAGTTTAAAGTTTATTGCAGCTATTACGAGATGCGCTTCAAGTAGCGAGACCTTACGTTCAATGATCCAGCAGGGTCACTTACTTTCTTAAAGAGTTGAAATTCTAGAAACAGTGCAGATGTCAGCTAGAAAGTTAGCATGCTACTA